TGGAAAATTTTTGGTCTTAATTTTGCATCCTTCAGCTGAGTAGAGAAACAAATTTTAATAATAATTTCTGGTGTAAAATTTGCACCATTCTGATGATTGGAGGGAAGCTGCTATACTGTAGATTTATGATTACAAATCTGAAAATAGGGGCAATCTTTATTTAGTGGACAACCTGCAACATTCTGATGATAGGAGAAGCAATCTATATTGAAAATGTCTGGTGGAAAATGAAAAAGGAAATCTGCACCAATCAGAAGATTGGAGAAGCAATTTTTATTGAAAATTAACGGTGGAAAATTTGCATGGTTCTGGTCAATTGAAATTTTCTGGCTTAAGTTTGTATTGAAAATTTCTGGTGTAAGATTTGCAACAATCTGCTGCATGGAGGGGCAAGCTGAATTGAAAATTCCTTATGTTAAAATTGCACAGTTCAGGTGAATGGAGGGGCTAGCTTTATTGAACATTTCCGAGAAGAACCTCAAGGGTATTGAATTCTGAGGACAGTTTCAAAAGAAAAGATTTCTGGGGATGATTCCATGAGAATTCTGAGAATAATTTCTAGTGAATCCTGTAGATAGTTCAATGATAATTTTGAAAAGAATACCGAGCGAATCAAATTTTTAATGAAATTCCAAAGGGATGTTGAGGAAAATTTCAAGGAAATTCAAGCTCATCCTGATAACAATTTTTGGAGAATACAGAGAAAAATTCTTCTGAAACATTAGGGGAATTTCAGTTCCAAGTTCAAAAATATTCCGAAAAGAATCTCAAGGATATTGAATTTTTAGGACAGTTCCAAAATATTTCTGGGGAGAATTCAAAGAAAATTCTGCGGATAATTTCTAGAGCATCCTGCAGATAGTTCCAAGATAATTTCGAAAAGAATACCGAGAAAATCAATGTTTGAGTGAAATTCCAAAGGGATTTTAAGCAACATTTCAAGCGAATTTCGAGGATAATTTCTAGCTAATTCCAGAAGAACCTCAAGGATATTGAATTCTGAAGACAGTTCCAAAGGATTTCTGGGGAATATTCCAAAAAATTCTGTGAATAATTTCTAGTGAATCCTGCAGATTGTTCCAAGATAATTCCAAAAAGAATACCGAAAAAATTAAATTTTGAGTGAAATTCCAAAGGGATTTTGAGGAAAATTTCAAGGGAGTACCGATAATTTTTAGCTCATTCCGGGAATAATTTCTGGATAATACTGAGAAAATTCTTCTGAAACTCTTAGGGAATTTTAGTTCCAAGGTGTTGTGAGTAAAAGTCAAGAAGTTCTAAAAATAATTTCAGATTGAGAAGAATTTCAAAAGAGCTCATAGAGTTCCAAAAATTTCGAAAAGAACCTCAAAGAATTCTGAGGATGGACTTTTTCACAACTGTACAAAGTTTAAAAACAGCTTTTAGATTCCCTTATCTAAAAGTAGGTATTAGATTGCCATTGAACCTTGTTGTCTTACTAAGAATTCGTCTAAGAATCTTCTCTGAAAATTTCAAGTCATTTGTTACCGTGGTTAAAAAGTTACAGCTGTTTCTGTGCGTTGCAATAAGTTCAGAATTGTCCTTTATATCATCTTTAAAACATGTTGAATGTTCGGCATTATTTCCTGTCACCCCGACTGGCGGTACTTTGCGGTACTCAATCCTTCGCACAAGTCGTCATTCCGTTAAAAATCCTGTACTCGCTTGTCAAAATAGTTTTGTGCGCTTTTGTTCCAATCGTTACATATTGTTTAAACCTTTTTAATGCTCCTATACGCTTTGGCATTTAGGTCAAAATTTGAAAAAAATAGAATTACAATTTTCGCTGAAAATGACCAAGTTTAACGGACTCTCAACGGTAATAGTAAAGTGTAACTACAACAGCATATAATACCCCGTACAGACTATGGCTTATATCATGTAATATAGACTGTCTTGCAATGAGCACTCACATATAGGATTTCCAGTGAAAACTAGATGTATGAGTGCTCATTGCAAGACAGCCTATATTACATAATATAAGCCATAGTCTGTACAGGGTTGTAAGGCAAAGCGGCTACAAAATCGCTATATAAAGGAACGTTTCATCGATATTGTGCGCATACTTAGCAAAGATGGCCGACCACTTCGTGAACATTCTGGGAAAATGTGCCTCCCAGTTGGTGGCTAACTACGATCTTGTGCTGGAAAACACTTGGCGGAAGGTGCCAAAAGTTGCCAGTACACAAGTAACCGTATTCAAAAGGACATGATTACGTCGTTGCACAATGTAATGTTGCAGAACATTGCGAAAACCTTGCGAGGAAAATCAGTGGCAATCATTGCAGATGAGACGAGCGATTGTGGCCACCACGAGCAGTTGGCGATTGTCATCAGGTATATTGATAATGATCGGCAGACGGAAACATTCGTGGGTGTGAGACTGGTGTTGAAAACATACGCGACGACCATCTTCAATAGCATTTCTGAGGTCCTGACAGCGATGCAGATTTCTTGGGAGCCGTTGATGGCAGTATGTTTTGACAGTGCCAGCGCAATGGCTTGCAGCACTGCTGGAGTACAAGCCAAGTGCAAGGACAAAAACAGCAATATACTTTTATGAAGAGCTTTGAGTGTGTTGGTTTATTTCCTTTTAATTCCGTTATAATTGCTTATCTTTTGACAGATACGCGTATTTCGTCTACTACTTGCAGACTTCATCAGTGCCAAGTACTCAACACCACTGATCAAGATTGGATTGATCAAGAGCAATATACTGTTTGTTCACTGCTATGCTGTTTGAACCTTGTACTTGTCGACGCAGTGTGCAAGCGAAAGGAGAATGCGATTCTTATTGGTCATTTATGTCGGTTTGTCGGTGCTATCACCACCATCTGATGTGACTTCAGCTGAAGCAAACCACCAAGGCAACAACATTGCAGCAAATGTATCATTTCGGTTATTATTGCAACCATTTGACGAACCGACCATCATCGACATCGTCGATAGGATTAAATTGCCAATTCCATTGGCTATGTGAAAGCAGTTTGCATTGCAGAAGATGAACCACCACCGGAGCAAAAAAATAATAAAATTATCTAAATTGAACAGTATAGGGAAACAGTGGACATCACCATCCACCACGCACTTTGAAGTACCCCCATCCCCAGATTAAATGCACCATAGAAAAAAAAATGCCCCTCCTTAACAAGATTCCTGTGCACGCTAGGGGTTAACTGTAGCTACTATAACAAAAACAAAATGTGGGTACATCTATAAGAATCTACATTAAAAAATCTTCAAATTAACGTTCTAAGATCACGAATAACTTATTTGGCTGTGGAGTAATCTTTTCTGAAAGTTGAAATTTTTAAAAATTGTGAAAATCCAGGGTTGTAGCCGAGAGGGATCTAGGCACTTCTGAGCAAAATCAAAAAAAGCGTTTGTTTAGAATGTCAAAATAAGCGTTTTGGCCAAGTTTGGTTCAAATCTGTGACATCAACCACAAATTTTAAAAATTCTGTACACACTTGAGCACACCCATGTTCCATTATCCACAATAAACAGTTATGGCGTAATATTCATGATGTCCAAAAGATTAACAGGCTAAATTGATTGATTGATTTATAATTGTGGGATGACTGAAATCAAATTAATTCCCATAACTGCTTCAGCCAATCAACTGTTACAATAATTTTCTCGGAGTGATTCATGTGCATCATTCATTCATAATCAGCTGCACCGAGTGTATCGCGACAATCTTTTGATTATCTCCCATTTTACTTCATCATTGTTATCCATCCACGATGCGGTGTGGGAAACGCTCGCTACTTTGCATTTTCTATGACGACGTACATATTGTGTCATGCAACGCGATTACAGTGCCAGCCACTATGATAGTGCAGCGACTACTAACATTATCTATAATATACTCTTTCCCGTTCACGGATGGCGATATTACGATTGACCGAAGAACTGAGGGGAATTTCTGCGGTTAACCGGATGACCTTTCCGCGGCAGTGCAACTCAAGAACAATGAAGCATTCTAAAGCCGCGAGCGGTCCGTGTGTGTGAGGGTCACACCGGCATGGAATTCCATTTGAACAGTTAGTCATTTTGTATGCAAAGTCAAAGTTAATTGGTTGTTGCGTATGTGACAAAGGCACGATCTCGGACTTCGCAACAATACCACTTTTTTTTCTCTAGTCGTCTTGGACATGACCTCCAAATCAAACAATCGAAGAACCGTTGCCATCGTAAAATTTATCCGGGTAATGGTTGGCGTTAACCGGACTGCAACAGAATGCAATTGGAAGTCCAATGGGCACATATAGACGTCCTTCGCGAGAAAAAATGCCACAAATTACGCGCGGTTAGGTCACGACCTAAACCGACCGGATGCGGTTGGATGCACAATGTTAACATCATGTTAATATCGGTGGAAACATAATTGAAGCCCGAAGGGGTAAGTTTTCCGCTCATTGCACTTATAACTGATCGATATTCTAAAATTTAATAAAGGGTAAAACACTCCGATATCCCTTCATCAGTTTTAACTCGACTCCGTTCGCTACAACTGCTGGTGATTTTTGCGAAAAGGAAGAAGAATAGGAAGAATTCCCCTACCAACAACATGTGGAATTTCAAAAGGAGGTAATTTCCGATAGAATCAGCCGTTTCGCGTGCTTGTGCGATATTATCGTGGAAAGTTTTTCTTCCTCCTTCCAATGAAGTGCAACAAGTGCAGATGATTGGGTCGCTGAGTGTGGCGCAAAAACAAGTGTATGATAAATGGTGGGAATTTTCGACGTTCTGCTTGGATGGAGTCCCTTTCCGGTGTGATGTGCGCGCAAAAAAAACAGTATTTCCCCCTCGTTTGGCGTTCCCATCGAAAATTGCAACTGGTCGTAGTGAAGAACAAGTTTCGCGAAAAGTGCCACCGCCAATTTGTGATTAATTAAGCGAATGAGGGTTGCCTTTTTATGTGCCATCGGTGATTTATAACACACAATTTTCCTTTCAATTTCCCCCATTTACAGTGAGATTCAAATGATGAAGCGCCGCTCGTTAGCCGGAAACTGTGGAGTGGGAGTGTTCGTGATAGCCCTGGTGACGGTGCTAGTGGCTTTTGCGACCCCGAGCTGGCTGGTCAGCGACTATCGGATCACCGGAGCCAAGCTGGATCGGTTGGGCCTGTGGACGCACTGCTTCCGCTCGCTGCCCGACGTGAACGATGACTACCAGAGGAGATTCTTCGTCGGGTGCCGATGGGTGTACGATCCGTTTACGACCGGGTACGACGAGATCCGGGGATTCTTGATTCCACGTGAGTATTGATTTTTTTTATCAGGGCATAGCTTGAAAATCTCTTACCGAAGTAGAAGGGCAAAAGACGTCCGCAACCAATCAAACCATGTGTTTTGCGTTGATTACTCATATTTTTGATTGGACCGTTTTCTGAGCTATGAATACCTACTAAGCAAGCATCACCTTAAATTTTGTGTGTGTGAATGTTCCCTTTTCATCCGTTCTGCTATCGATTTATATGTATAGGGGAAATGGATGTAATGTCGGCCTAAATGCCCCTAATTTGGGCCCATACAAAAATTCAGCAATCGACTAAATTTTCAATAGCGACCAAAAATATTCATTAGTACCGTCCCATTGACGCGTTCATCTAGATAAAATTGATAAATAGCCGATTTTTAGCGATGGGCCCATAGGCCAGATCCATAGGCCAACATTAGTGCCATTTCCCCTATATTGATACATTCAAACCATTGGCATTTGTTATTCGAGATAAGACAGAGAAAGGATGCGGAGGGCCAGCTTAGGGGGAGCGTAACCCATGCTAGGGTTTCCATTTATTAAATAGTTCGGATAGGCTCGAAATGACAGGTTTATAGTAAGAGAATCTACCATATGGTGCCCATTCATTGATCAAAATCAGATTCACAGCCTCAGGCCTTGCCCAAAAATAAAGGGAAATCATGTAAATTTAGGTGCTCTGATACTGGCATAAACAATTTTAACATAAAATTGAGTCATAACAGACACAACATTTAACTCAATCAAACGTACTTTTCGTCGAGTAACGAACTTTTCAGTCTCAGAGCACTTATTTTACATGAAATATTTGTATACGTCTGATGCTTTATGTCAAAGATGGATTCCGTCACGTGTAAAATTAGTTATTTCTAAGTGTGCAATGCTACTACATCATTTTTTATGGTCTTAGGGATCTTTCGTTAGATGATGGATGAAAAATTATAACGAATTATCTCTGATTCCTAAAGAATGATGAAGTAAAACCACAAATTGAACTTAACGTTCGATGGATTTTATAGAAAACAAATTACATGTTGCCAAAAACAGGAAACAGGCTGTATTCTAAATGTCCGGGCTTCGAATTGTTTTTGAGATTGTGAACTCCAAATATTATCAAGTGTCTGAGATTTCATGTTTTTAGGATTCTGGCAATTTATAAAAAGATCATGGAGCATTTCCTCGCCATAGAACAAAACGGTTGGATACGACCTTTACCGATTTGAATGAAACATTGCTTATTGCTACACTAAGAGAAAAAGTCACGTCACATTAAATCCATGTTAAAAAAAAATTAAAAGTGGATTTTCTTGATGAAAATGCCCTTCGATTTTTTTCATTTAATGTGTGCAGACGTTTTTTTTCTTCCTTGATTCGTTCTCCATCGATCTTGCTTTCCGTACAGACTAGCAATGCTACCAACGCCAGGGAGGCAGCTCCCACGCCTGGACTCTACCTACCATTATAATTCTCCAGTTCGAACGAAATCTCGAACCTTCCTCTTGATGGAGCCCATCAGCGCCCACTCAGTGAAAAAGGACATGGAATCAGCGCATTTCTTCCATTTTTCCCGCATTTGCTTGAAGTCCTTGGTGGCCCCGTCGCTTCGTCGAAGTCGCTGCTTTGAAATTACCCAGTATTTTACGATTGGTCGAAATTCCGGACAAGATCGATTTTGTCCCCAAGCTAATAAATCTCCGGATTTATTAGGTTAGGGACAAAATCGATCTTGTTGGCAGCATACCACTCCAGAACCACCTTGGAGTAGTGACAGCTGGCCAAATCGGGCCAAAAGATAACTTTGCCCCTATGCTTGCTTGCTTGCTGAACGGCAATACACGCTTTTTCAGGCATTCTTCGATGTAAACTTGTTCCGTGTTCGGGCCACAACTGCAAATCGCTTGCCAAAGCATGACCTTCATCGCGAACTTGTCGACACACACGATTTTGAATCTTCCCGGCACATCCCCTCGTCCAGTCGCGATGTAAAACTTTTGACCTGTAAGCTGCTTAAAATCGAGTTTGACGTATGTTTCGTCATCTATCAAAGTGCAGCTCTTGTGTTTCGTCAAAACTCGGTCGTACAAGAGCCTTGCCCACTTTTTGGCCACGGAATTCTGCTTCATATGCCGGTTCGGATGTTTACTGGCTTTGTACGACTTGTATCCTTCCCTGGCAAGGATGTTCCGCATCGTTTGAAAGTTGGCGTTGTACCTTCTGGCCATATCCCGGATCGAAAGACTGGGGTGGACTTTAACGCACCTCAACACTTTGCTGCGCAGCTGAAGATCCCTGGTTCCAGTTTTTTCGTAGGACCGCTGGTTTCTTTCCACACTCAGGGTTTCATTGTAGGTTTTGAGCACTCGACAAACTGTTGTTTTCGCAATCTTCAGCAATTTAGCCAGCTTGGAACCGGACCACTCCGGATTTTCCAGGTGTTTGTTCAAAATATTTTTTTCTTCTTTCGAGTTGCATTTGACGTTATTTCTGAACGCGATCGACTACTTTGATCAAACTTGCACCAGTTGTTCTCTAGAGAAGTGTTAACAAACCACTGTCAAAGATTTTCGATTCCCAACACTAGTGGCTAGAAGGAGATTCTATATCATCCCGTGGAGGCGTATAGATGAATTTACCCATCGCTCCACCAAATCCGTTTGTGGCCCTTCATACAGTGACATGTTGAGGACAATCAGTGGTTATTACGCTTGATCAAATCAAACAGTGAGGAGCGCCCACTGCTATTGGACTTAGTTTTCGTACTACAATGAGTGGTAGACAATTATCATACATCAGCATACATTATCAAGGATTTCCTGAGGATTATTTCAAAATGCCTTCAGTATTACGTTAACTATCAGCATCAATAATCTTATGCTTCTGTACGTTGATCCCTAGAAATTTTCTCCGGAAAGGCCGTAGTATCAACCAGTGGAAACTAACGATTTAAAATTGACTCACTACTTGACTAGCCTATTGGTCCCAAGCAAATCGATTAACGTAACCCATTACAGTCGAAATTCTAGTACTACACTAAGTTTGTTTTGATTCGCTATGAAAGTATGACAGATAAAATGAGGGGCTCGTGGATTTTCCTATGTTTCGAGGGGTGCATCGATTAGCTTGGGACCGAAGAGAGTACCAGAGCTGAGCCAAAAAGTTGAGCACGTTTCTTCGGGACCTTCTGGTCTTAGAGTTACCTCTATGGTAGTATCAACAATCAATACGAAACTAACGATTTTAAATTGGCTCACTACTTGACTAGCCTATTGGTCCCAAGCAAACGATTAACGTATCCCATTCTAGTCGAAATTTTAGTACTACGCAATGTTTGTTTTGATTCGCTATGGAAGTTTGACAGATAAAATGAGGAGTTATTGGTTTTTCCTATGTTTTGAGGGGTGAATCGATTAGCTTGGGACCGAAGAGAGTACCAGAGCTGAGCCAAAAAGTTGAGCACGTTATTTCGGGACCTTCTGGTCTTAGAGTTACCTCTATGGTAGTATTGTGCAGAACACAGGAATTCCATCCAGAATTTGAATTCTTAAAAACTCTCTTTTTTTCCTTGATTTGTTTTCCATCGATCTTGTTTTCCACCTGAACCCTTCCTATCGACCCATCAACTCATGAACCGGGGACCAACGGCTTTAAAAATTTCCTGCATTGCATGCTTTACAATTGATAAGTTCCTCGTCAAATGACGAATAATAAAAATTCGACGTTCAGTTTTCACTCGGCTGTCGACAGAAGCAGACCACTCTCGGTGTGTCACGTGATCGTGTGTTTACTCGGCAGCAACCATTGTGTGGTCTTCCTCATTGTTCTTCATTAGCAGTGCTTTCGGTCGATGCGTCGTCGAGTTTGGAAAGCGACTGTTTTGTGATGAGTGTGTGAGTGCTGACCACGTTTTGCTTCCATTGATCACCCCAGCAGGCCTAGGTTCAATCCTAGTCAGCGCCGCCGGGATGTCCTGAGGAATAACATCTCTGATCACGCCTTCGTTCGGAAGGGAAGTAAAGTCGTTGGTCCCCGGTTCATGAGTTGATGAGTCGATAGGTAGGGTCCAGGTGTTGGAGCTGCCTCCCTGGCGTCGGTAGCATTGGTGTTCAGCACGGAAAGCAAGATCGACGAAAAAAAATCAAGGAAAAAAGGAATCTTCGGCTCTGTGAAGGTAATTCGGTTGAGCCTCATCAAATTAATTAATGAAAAAAAATGCTTGTTTTTATTATTCGTTCTTTGGCGTGGAACTGCACAATTTTAAAGAATATATTGAAATTTATTGAGTTTTTTGGAGGGAATTCCAGGAGTGTTCTGCACAATATTACGGCTAGAGGCACGTAATAACCTTTAACTCCAACGCAGGCAACGGCTGTAATTAAATTAATTCCATTAACTACTGCTTTAATTACATTAATTACACAATGTAGAACATTAACTACTTTTTAACTCCATTAATTACAGTTGAAATTTCGTAATTAAAGTACATTAATTACATTTTCAATACTTTTAATTACTTTAATTACGTATAGATAATGTTAATAACCTTCAGTACTACTTCAAAACGCATTAATTACTTTAAGTACTTTTGATTGCACTGGTTCTTTGTATTGCGTGCCCCTCGTATTACGGCCTTTATGGACAAAATTTCTAGGTAAAGTTTCATAAAAGTCGGAGAAGCCCGATTCAATAATAATTTCTTTTAGCTATTTTGCCTGGAATTGCTCAATTTGCTTGGAATATTCCTGGAAATCTCTTGGTATGCCATTAAGAATTTAAAAAGGGTTATACCATAACTTTCTTGGATTTCACTTTGTAATTCCATAGAAATTTTCCTCAGAATATTGTTGTTCATTGCTTCTGCTACTGCTGTATCTTCTTTTCCTTGCTTCGTTCCAATACATATTCATCACTTCAGATTCAATTCGTTGCACTCTTTGTTTTCTTCTCTATTTCATTCATTTCGTCACCATCATATTATACATAATTTTCTTCCTCTCCGTC